CACACACACACACACACACACACACTTCACACTGTATTTTCAGGTTTGTATCCTCAGGACATTCCAGGTGACACCATGTAACAAAAATTCGTAAAGCTGGAGGAAAATGCATTAGAATGTTGTCACAACATGTCTTTCTGCAAGAGTTTCTAATCTCTTTTTTCTAAACTTTTCTTGCCTCTGATGGCCTGGCCCTAGCCAGTCCCTGTCGAGGGCGGATGCTAGCTAAGCCGTGTGAGCACAAAGAGCCAGCCAGCCTCCTTAGCCTGCATCCAGCCTGCTCTCTGCGGCTTAAACATTCATTACTTATTACTCCTTGTGCCAGTCATTCTTCAGTGCCTGGATTAAATTGTGGAAATTGGGTATTAATGATGCCCGAGGGGAGCAAATTCCAAAATGACATAAGGTTCATTAAATAACACTATGAAAATGCTTTTAAGGAAAAGACTATTGGCGACACGACACTTCAACTCTTTTTAGAGGTGGCATATGTTAGTTTCTACGTTAAAGTTTTTATCCTGGATTTAAAATAAAATTAACACACTAGGTAAAATTAAGTTAGGATTTATCTTCCTAATTTAGCATTAATGAAATGGGAGGGCTATACTATTTGAAAATTAAAATGACTAGCGAATCTCTTCTCTTGTCTGCGGGAGAAAAAGGTTCGGTCTCCTGATGCTTTCTCCTGTGCTTTAGGCCCAGCATCCTGACTCTGGCGGTTTTCCTATGACCCTGGAGGAGAGTGGTGTTATAACTAGGACAAGGCAGCAGGGCCGATTCAGCAAGCGTCGCTCTCACAACAGAGCTGCGATAGCATGAAGCTGCCTACTAAAGACTGTTCTGAGTTCGTCCCCGCTCAGCATCATGAGCAGGTGCACTATGCACTTACAAAACAAACAACCGAGGGGCATCCATATTTTCATGATGTAAGAGTCTATCATAAGTAAATTCAATCTAAGAAAATAGACACTCAAGAACTCAAAAACCTCTTACATGTTAAAATGCTGTATTTGTTTTTTTTCTCATACATGGAAACATATACTTATTCAAAATATAATGTGTGTATTTTTAATTAAGCTGTTTACTTAACTTTAGCACTAGCTTTGTAGTTTCTGGGAGTCATTTTTCACTTTTCTATTTTTGGGGTGCCCTCCCTCTGTCCACTGGGATAGAATGTTTCCTCTTAAATGAGGGGGATTTCTGGAGGCTCAGGACTCAGCATCTGGAGTCAACCTGTGAAGTATCCAGGACCTTGAGTCAGTCCTGCATCATCTTGTCCATCAGACAGCCAAATGACACAAAGACGTCATCGACCAAATGAGACTCCTACACCCACTATCATCCCATTCACACATTTGGTGGCTTTCCCATTCATTCAAATGCACTGACTTCAGGAAATGCGTATGATGATGTATGACAGGAAGCCTGAGATCCATGAGGCCGACTAAGTCAGGATCCCAAAGTCTGGCTGATGGGAAGAGCAGGGACACATGTGAGAGGACAATAGACCCCGCCCCCCAGCTATGGGACGTGGGTCTTGTAGGAGGGGCTCATTCATTTCATCTAAGAAGAAAATTGAGATTACGTAGGAGTGGCTGTTAAAAAACATTCCCAATTTAATCCTCAAAGAATGAGTGAGCTTTGATGAGTACGGAAAAGAAAAAACACAATAATACAGAGGTGTCTGTAGGCAAACAAGGCAATGCTACCACACTTCACAACGAGAGATGTGCATGTAAGGTCGGACGGAGGTGGTTACAGATGAGCCCTGTAGGAGCTCAGTGAAGACATGCAAGAGACAAACAGGCTATTATTAATTTACTGGGGAAACAAAGAGAAGAAAGATAATGAGTCCATAAACCTTGTGGTGAAGTGTAGACATATCTACCATTCCTTGTTTCTTCTAATAATAACAGTGAGCATAATGGAACTATTCTATTGACCACTTTCTTTAATGGAGGTGGAGAGAGACCAGCCACTTGCCTGAGTCCTAACAGATCTGCAGGTGAGACTGAGGGTGTGCAGTGCCTCCCACGTCATGTACAACTGGTGATAGCTGTGACTGTCACTGTCACTGTCACTGTCACTGACATGTCTATCCTGTGATCCTATTATCTGTGATAACAACCCAGCCCTCTGATGGCAGGACATACACCTTTCATACTCACTGATGGATGACCATAGTTAGTTTAGTGCCTGGTAGATAAGATATTCATCAAATGGTTTCAAGCCATAGTCCTTTATTGATGGTATGAGATTTTGAGTTTATCTCCTTAACTCTGTAGTTCTAGATCGTAAACTGATTTACTTGGTACTCTGACTAATCCATAGCGCCCCCGCCCTCCCCAGGGAGCTACTGATACATTAACTGCCAGACTGGGGGAAAGCCTCATTATCCCACTTGTTCCTGTCGCTGGACCATGAAACTCTGTTCTTTGGGCACTAAATTTCTCTAATTCATCATTACATAAATCTTGAGTGAAAATCTTGAGTGTTGCTATAGAGATTGTACATCCTTTTCCCTCTCTTTGCAGCTAGTATTAGCTCAATATTGGAACTGACCAGGATGAAGATTCAAGGCAAGGAATGAGAAGATAACTATAACACGATTGTACATCAAAGGGCATTTCATAATCTCTGGGCTCACATGACAGAAGCCTAAGGCATGCTTCCTGATGGATGATGACCTACACCATGGCTGCAAAGTACATCTTCATCTTTTTAAACAGGGCAGACTGTGTAAATATATTTGGCTTTAATTTGAATACACTTGAAACACAAAATTAGGGGTGCCAGCTCCTCCTTTGTAATAAGTACTTTTTACCAGAATAAACAAGCTTAAGTAAATAAGATGCTCTCTGTGTTCATGATTCATAGCAACAAAAGAATCTTTAATTACTATATTCCAGTTCCCCAAGCAAATTTTACATCTTTCTTGTGCTGTGCCTGCAATGCTGGGCAACAGTTACATCCTGACCAAATCTTCCTTCCAAAAAATGATTTTGACAACATAAAACTAAGCCAGATGGCTCCCGAAAGCAAAGACTTTACAAACAGTACCTGGTCTATCAATCCTCCCCTGATGCTAAATACTGCTAAGGCTGTAGAACAACCCTTTCATCCATTTTTCCCAATGGTTTTATAATCGTTACCATCTTCATACCTGCTTGGGCTGTCCCGTCATTATAAAGAAGCTACGCGCGCGTATTGTACCTTCGAAACACAAGGCTTACCGATGCACCGAGAGCCATCTGTGGAGGTTACGAAGCCACGTGGACAGACACAAAAATAGCTTCCCACGGTGTTGGAACAGTCACCGGTTTCACAGACCCCAGGAACCACACTGCACTCATCGATGTCTAATCAAGGGGAGATAATTGAGAAAGGCCTTCGTTAAACAAAAGGATTTAAAAACTATGAGAGCACTCACGGTTGATTAGGTCAGATCATGTAACCCTGAAGATACTCTTGTTTCAGGCCCTGAGGAATTTCTCACACATATCTATGGGAACTGACTTGGAAGTAGCCTCCCAGGACAGCAAAACAAGGCCAACTAAAGCAAAACTCTATATAAGCCCTTTCCCCTCAGATGCAACTTAAATTGCAAATAAGATTTCAACATCTTAGTTCTGAATTATCCTTCTGGAGCCCTTCAAAAAAGCACATATACAATTACCTTTTAAATATGGAATAATTAAATGCAAACATAGCTAATTTTAACAACCATCATCGAAACTAACAGAGGGTATCGGATTATTTTTTTTTCCTATTTGGCTTTAGGATGTGCTGATGGTAGGTGCATTTGGATGTGGGTACATTTGACATTCTGGGAATAACTTCAATTTGAAACAATGTACAGCTGTGGCAAAGAGACAGGGTGAGAGGCGCCGGGCAGGACCCACTTTTCCTACTGCTGCTCTTTGTGGGTATCCCCTGCTTAATCCCGGGAATGGACTGCTTCCTTTCGCGGCGGGGTCTGCTTTTTCTTAAATTGACCTAAAGCAGGAGAGTCTCTATAAGCTTTCCGGTACTTCCCTTTTTAATCCCATGAGCAGAGAGAGGTAGAAAGTCAAACAAAACTTCAGTTAGGCACACTAGGAGCTGAATGTTAATCCCTTTTACAAAGGAAATGCGCCCTGGGAGAAAACCCAGGCAGGGATACCCAACTGCCGGCATTGTTAGCAAAGACAATTGCATTGGTGTAGTCAAGACCACTGAATAGAGGAAGCAATTATAAAAGTCGTAAACATAATTACTTAAAATCAAAGTAAAGGGGAACTTTTTGTTTCTTTTATGTTCTTGTCCTCTTGTGCTGTATACATTCTTTTAGAATGTCTCAATTTGCAAGACAGGGAAAATAACTGCATTTTAATTATAAGTGAGAGGGAAAACATTTACACTCCATAATTACACCTCTCCCCCTGAGCTCCAGGGATCACTGCAAAAGAAGGGGTAGAAAGACTGTCAGGGGTAGTGAACTTTCATGGTCAAGCAGGATTCCCTGGGCCTGGCAGTACACAGAAAGTTCCCATGAACTCACAGGGGCTGTAACAGCATGCACACTGCATGCCCTAAGCCAAAGCTAGCTCAAATCCCAGCATGCCAAAGGGAGGCAGACATTGGGGCCCACCCTTAGCTGAGGAGTGGTTGACGACTGATGGCGGCCAGAGGAGGGGGAGCCAGCTTTCCTTAGCGATGTGGTCCCTGAGAAGCTAGCCTGAGTAGCAGGTCCTACCTACATCAGTACACACATGGGCAGCACAAAGGAGACTCAGTGTTAAAAACAGAGCAGCTGGGGGGGGGGGTAAGTAGTGAGGGAGAAAGAGAAAGAGGTAGAGGGGAGAGAATGGGGACATTTGATCAAACACATCACAGACAGCTGTGAGATTCTCAAACAATCAGAAAGCAATTAAAACTATGAAATGGAAAATATAAGAAATAAACGATTCAAAGTTTTAAACAAAAACACATAAAGTTACCCATCTCTTTTTGATATCCCTCTATTGATGCACTCATTACTTTTTGCCCATTCATTCTGACTAATCATCAGGTTAATGAGCTGCATCACGAAGCAACCATTAGATTTTTTTTTTAAAATCTCCTTTGTATATTCTTCAAAAAGAAGGTGGACATTCAGACATCCTCTAAACTATTATCTTCATTTGAGATTCAACAGCTGCTGAAGGACAGAGGCACAAATCCACACCTACCAATCCCCCTGGGAGATCAGAATTCTAACACAAATTGCCTACACAAATGAGGAGCAAATGTGTGATGTGGTAACAGCGCTCCCATCAGCCTTCACCCAGCAAAATGAAACCATGTGTGCAAATTAGGACCTGTTGCATCCTGTGCGGCCATCTTCATGCACACGGTGCTTTCGTACAATGGAGAGCAGCACAGAGATGAAGCAGGAACAGTTAGACCGCAAACAACAAGTATCACCATAAATGGCCTCTCCCCAAGGAAGACAGAACAGAGAACAGCATGATGTGGAGCAGGCGGCACAAATGGAAGACTGAACATGCATCCTGTTCTCTTCATTGTCCAAAATAGCAACAGTCCAAGAGTTTGGGTAGTTTAGAATTAATGAAAATTCTCAAATATTATAAGATCTCATGGCCTTCATTTGAATACTAACTTTTATTTGTAAGCATTTCCTAATAAAGGATCATTTTTTTTTTTGTCCAAAACTGAAATGTGAAAGATGTTTGACATTTGGTGGGGGGCAGGTATTTTTGAAATATCTGGATATAGAAATACATGCTGTTTCCTGTTGTGATACAACACAGGCCAAAAAAAGAACAACTTGGGGCAAAAAGTTGTTTGTTTCATTTTACAGCTTATAGTCCATCACTGAGGGAAGACAAGGCAGGAACTCAAGGAAGGAACCCGGAGACAGGCACTGAAGCAGAGGCCATGGAATAGTGTGGTGATGCAATATTACAAAAATATCTCTTCCATTCAAAGAAAAGAGACTGGAACTTTTGCTGGAGCTCATAGTCAAACTTAATATATCTTCAGGTCACTTGAGATTTAAGACTGCTATCTTACTGTGTACTCAAACAGTTTGCTTAACTTACTTTTAAGAGGACAATGTAACAGCCATACTTACATGCCTTGGGTTTCCTATGCAATCAACTTTTACAACCTAAGCTAATGCATAGCTGTAACCTTAAATTGTATACTCTTCAATACCCTTGACCCAAATAATGTGTGTGCACCATTTGCTGAAAGCAGCAAACACAGAAGCTGAAAGCAATTTTCTAAAATCTAACATATAAAGTTGAATGCAAGCATCTATGGATATTGGCTGGTAAATGATGATGCTTGTTATCTGGGTCAGTTGGGATCAGTGGTAGCCAGTGACTTAATCCCCTCTAAAACTCAATTAAAGATTTCTGTAAAGTATCCTCTTCCTTCCCCATGTGATGCTTCCTGTGCAGTTCAATAAAGACAGAGCAAAGCCCCGTGTGAGGGACAGACACAGATACAACAGGCAGACACAGGGATAGACACAGACACAGATCCAGACTCATACAACAGACAGACAGGAGACAGGAGACACGGGGAGCATGAGGTGGAGGATCCAAGTCTGGATTCACACTTGGTTAAATGACTCCAACGTGGGCTGCATTTCTTCCCTTAGTTCAACATCAGTGTATCGTTGGGGACTCAGAGATGAGCCTTCTCCCTATGGCTTGCTCAGTGTGCCTTTTTCTACCACCTTGAAACGCCTGCCCAAGGATAGTACCACCCACAGCGGGCAGGACTCTCTCACATCAATCAGCTAAGAAAATGCCCCACTGACTTGCTCATAGGTCATTCCTCAAATGGAGTGTCCTCTTCCTGGTTGACTCTAATTTTGTTAAGTTGATTACAAAAAAAAAAAAAAACAAAAAACTAAGCAGCATACCATGACATTGAGTTTTGAGGTTTCCTATGAAAACATTCATTTTACAAAAATCTCTGTGTATTTAGAATGAGATAGAAACCTTAAAAGGTTAAGTTCAAAATAGATACATGCCACAAACAGTATACAGAGGCTGATGGCTCTGTATAAAGAAAATGATTTTTTACCCAAATAGCTTTAGGCAAGTTACTCTTCAAATTGTAAGAATTAAAGAGATAGGTTTAAACAAAACAATACAAAAGTAACAACAAACAAACAGAAACATGATGGTCCAGACATTTTGCATTTCGCTATACGAATGCCTGGTATTTACACATCTAATAAAATTTAGCATTGGCATTTATGTTCAGTGGACTACATGCACATAGCTCTCTTACTCATTTGTTTCTTCAGGACCCTATGTTAGAATCAGATTTGAAAGGAGGCCCTATATCAATGAACATCACATACTGCCTTAGTGTAGACAAGCGTATCTAAGGGTGCCAGGTCCATTCAAAGGAAAAAGGAAAGCCTTTTCTGCATGTCTATTATGCTTCCCCCACATCGTCTTGGACATTTTGAATTTTTAAAGTGTGCTAGCTTTGGTTTTCAAATCCCAGAAAGACTGATCTAAACTCAGGCCAGATATTTAATAGCATCATGACTGAAAGTCCAGTCACGTGGACCTCAGGATTGGTTAGACCAATGTCTCCTGCTTAGGTCACATTACGCCCAGGCTGACGTTCTACAACCATATTAACCCTGTAAAAATATAGGAGAATCAAGATGAGCTGATGAGAAAGGAGGCAACATGGGGTCAAGATGCTCTTCTTCCTCTGCACTCTACAAAAGTGCAGATCAAATGTTACACGCCTAGCTGTCTAAACATTCTGGTCCTCGTCTTCCTTCTCTATGAATTCTAAGTCTTTCTGAATAGATACAGACAAGGTACAGAGAAAAACTAGATTCTTTCCCTGGCTTGGCTACACTGTAAATATCCCATTTTCCTTCACCTAACTGTTTCCTGGAAAAGGTTTGGAGAACAGGGAAGCTCAGGCAGTTAGTTACAGGCTGGGAGCCTGCTGACAGCCTCTCCATACTCCGAATTTATCTTCCATCTTCTTCCCCTGATGGGTTCAAATAGCTACTGTAAGTATAGCTAGACCTTTGACTGGGTCATCCAGTAAAGGACAGGTTGTCTCTGCCCTCTTAAGGGGAAGAAAAACTCTCCGAGAAAGTTCCCACAAACCTTCCCTTTCATTCTAACATTGTGAATTGGCTCACAGTTCCTTAGTCAGAGAAGTGGCTTCACTGGCATAAGCCTGGAGCCCTCACCATCACTCAGTTTAGACTACTAAGTACCGGGAAGTAGAAGGGTGTGAGTGAGTCTGAAACAGCACAGTTGAAGGCTGGGACTTGCATGAGCAAGTACGACTGGGAAACGTGGAGGTAAAAGGCACAGTTGGT